GTCGTTGTTGTTGTTGTTGTTGCTGCTGTTATTGTTATTGTTGTTGGTGTTGTTGTTGTTGTTGTTGTTGTGGTTGTGGTTGTGGTTGTGGTTGTGGTTGTGGTTGTTGTTGTTGTTGTTGTTGAACATTATTAATTCTAAAGAATAATTATTGTTGGGACCCCTGGTGCACGGCCCCCCTGCGCCGCCTAGGCCGCAGCTACATTTTCATCATTTTCGTGAGGAAGCCTCAGGTAATTCGATGTGATCAAGATCCGGTTGTTTTGTTCCCCCCCGCTTTCCCTTGCAAAAAACACTATAAAATGACATTTCTTGTTCTAATATAATCAAATTTCAAGAATCCCTTGCAAAAAATAAGGTAAAGTGGACATTCGCGCGCGCAAGACGAAATCCTTCCAAAAGCTTAGTGTTCGGAGCGATTTTAACATAAAAACATCAAAAAACCAATGGTTTTTCAACAAAAAAATGTCAAAATCTCATCCCGCGCGCTCTTGCGGATTCGTAGGAAACCCAACACTTTTTAAACATTTCTGTCAAACGGGCTTTTGCGAGCAACTTTTTCGAACTTCTGCGACAACGGTTGCGCACCTGCCAGGGCCATCATCCCTGTCAAATAATACCATGCGGGACACATTCGTTTTTTCTTCGCGCGCGCACGCCGAAATCTCCAAAAACCATTGGGTTCTTAAGAATTTTAGCACCGCGCATCATAAAATCACACGAATCGCACCGTAGGTCCTCGAAAAACACCTGCACGACTTTTCAAAATTTCCACCCGCGCGCGCTGTCCGAATCCTAAAAAAACCAATGGTTTTCCAACATTTATGTTACATGAGCTCGCGCGAGCTACATGTTATCATGTACCATATGCATCGTGCAACAGATGTTCTGTGGAAGGCTTAACAACTTCTGTGGGTTAACAAGGCTTAACAACTTCTGTGGGTGTACGAACGTAGGCTTAACAACTTCTGTGGGTGTGTACTCCACGCCAGTGTAGTAGCCACGGTCGTCCGCAGGCCACGAAGTGAAGTGTCCGAACGTCATAGGGCGGGAAGCTGGGTGTGGGTGGTGGCGAAGAGTCGTGTGGATATTTGGTAGAGCTTGCACTGCCCCCCCACAAAGTGGGGGTATTGGCTGGCGTCGCATGAAAACCCTGGCACTGGTGAGAACACTGAGCGTTCGGGTAAAGTGATTGTTGTTGTTGTTGTTGTTGTTGTTGTTGTTGTTGTTGTTGTTGTTGTTGTTGTTGTTGTTGTTGTTGTTGTTGTTGTTGTTGTTGTTGTTGTTGTTGTTGTTGTTTGTTGTTGTTGTTGTTGTTGTTGTTGTTGTTGTTGTTGTTGTTGTTTGTTATGTTTTTGTTTTGGGGGAATAATGGTTGTTTTTCGTCTAAAGTCCGCCTGTAGGGGGAGACGCCCGACCTAACGCCAGCAGGCTCCACGCCCCGCTCCATCCCGCCGAAGCATCGCAATCCATCGGCGGCGTATGGCCGGGCCCCGCCCCACGAGCTCTCCCAGAGGTCCCAGCCAAGCGCAGCCCGGCCAAGCCCAGTCCAGGGACTGCAGTGAAGTCGGGCGTGTCCCTCTACAGGAGGAATATTCAAAAGAAGTCAAAAAGTAGCCTGGCGACGATTCTGTTTGAGTGTTTGTTAGGTATTTTTTTTCATTTTCCGTCGAAAACCCGCCTGTAGGAGGACATGCCCGACCTAAGACTGGAGGGGGTGAGGGAGGAAGGGGGGGACAGGAGGGAGAGGGAGTGCGTAACTTGTTTTGCGTCGGCGGTTCAGATCGAGATGGCGCCAATGTTCGGGATATGAGTGGGGGGGCCAGGAAGAGAAAAGGAGGAGGCAGGGGTAGAGAGGGAGTCCGTGCATCCAGCACAGATCTGTACCAGATGATCTCGATCACGCCACTTGTTGCAGACCCGCACGAGTACAGAGGAAGGCATGCACGGCTCCTCCAAACGCAATTGCTGCAGTGAGCGACGAGAAGGAGGATGGTAGGAGGAGGAGGAGGAGGAGGAGGAGGAGGAGGAGGAGGAGGAGGAGGAGGAGGAGGAGGAGGTGGAGGAAGAGGAGGGAGGAGGAGGAGGAGGAGGAGGAGGAGGACGAAGGGGAGGGGAGGAAGACACAGGAGGAGAGAGGAGGAGGAGGAGGAGGAGGAGGAGGAGGAGGACGGCAGGAAGAGGAGCGAGGTAGAATAGGGAGGGTCTTTCTGCCGGGGAAGGATAATCCATGCCCAGCAAAACGCAGCTGTGGGCAAGAGGATCGGCATGATCGAAATGGGTACGGAAAAATGTTGGACAAGGACCCTCAGCAATGCCTGTCCATTTTGAACAAGGCTCATCGTCGGTGTGGCCGTGGACGTTCCCCAATGGAGACGAAAAGACGCAGCGGACGCTGTTGGTTCTGGACAGCATTTGCTGTTGGGCATCGTACACATTTTCTCTCTACCCATCTCGGGAATGCGAAGAGGAAGGACATGCTATGCTTTCCTCTCCCTCCCCCCCTCCTCCAGGGCAGGCGCGCCTCGTTGCCACTCCGCCTCGTCTGGGCTCCTGCGCCCCCAGGTGTTCCAACCCCCACAGTCGCCGTCGGTCGCCGTCGGCGTCGCCGTCGCCGTCGGCGTCGCCGTCGCCGTCGGCGTCGCCGTCGCTGTCGCCGTCGCTGCTGCCGTCGCCGCCGCCGTCGTCGTTGCCGCCGCCGCCGCCGCCGCCGCCGCCGCCGCCGCCGCCGCCGTCGTCGTCGTCGTCGTCGTCGTCGTCGTCGTCGTCGTCGTCGTCGTCGTCGCTGTCATCCCCCATGCCTGGGAAAGCCGACCCCGTGCCCCCTGCCCTCTTTCTTTTTCTTTGTGCTGTTCCGCCGCGGGCAGTTCCTTGTTTCGGTGCCTGTGCCCCCCCGCCTCCGAGAGCCCCCCCCCCCGTGGTCCGACCACGGCGACGCACGACGACCGACGGCCACGAACGGCGACGACACGGGCGACGAGCGGCGGCGGCGGCGACCACAACGGCGACCACGACGCTGCTGCTGGCGCCCACGCCCGCCCCTGCTGCGGGGGCCCGAGGGGCGCCCGGCCGGGCCAAAGGGGGGCAGGGCGTGAGCCACGCGGGCGCCAAGCCGGCGGCGCTGAAGAAGGTCGCCGAGGCGCCGGCGGCAGCTCGTGCCTCGCCGCTCGCGCATCGCCGCTCGCGCCTCACCGCTCGCGCCCCGCCGCGCGGAGGGGGCTCGTCGTCGTCGTGATCGTCGTCCTCGTCCTTGTCCTTGTCCTCGTCCTCGCCCTCGTCCTCGTCCTCGTCCTCGCCCTCGCCCTCGTCCTCGTCCTCGTCCTCGACCTCGTCCTCGTCGTCCGCGTCCTGGTCTTCTTCTCCTTCCCGGGCCCCCAGGGGCAACGTCAGGGGGGTGGCGTGGCTCAGGGGGAGATGCATCGACCCCCAACCGCCCACTGATCGCCGATGGGGGCCCGACAGCCCACCCCACAGCTCGAGACTCGTTCGGGTTTATTCTGCCTCTGCGTCTTCGTGGATCCTTCGGGTCCCTCGCGACGCACAGCACGCGTCTGGGCCGCCAGGTGTCGCGACCATCATGCAGAATATTTGCGTGTCCAGCTGCTGTTCCTCGTTGTCCAGAGGTAAGAACGGTTCTCTCGCCTCGAAGCCAGCCACGCTTCCCAGCTCGCATTGATGGTCATACTTTGGCGCCTCCCGTCGCGCTCCCAAGCCGGAGTAGTGCTCCTGCCTGGACCACGCTCTAGACTTACAAGTGTGCTCTGGCCTTTAGTGTCAGTTTCACTCTTGGCACGGCATGGTACTCCTCCTCCGTAATGCCCCTCACTGAGGCAGCAGCGGGCCAGTCTCCGTATGCTCGTTGGGAGCATTGAGCAGGGAGCACGAGGAGGGAGGGAGAAAGGAAGTGGAGGGAGATGAGGAGGAGGAGGAGGAGGAAAAGGAGGAGGAAAAGGGGAGGAGGAGGAGGAGGAGGAGGAGGAGGAGGAGAAAGAGGAGGACGAGAGATGGAGTGCATGACGAGGAGCAGGGGGATGGAGCAAGAGGAGGAGGATGAAGATGAGGGGATGAGGGGGAAGACGATAAAACAATGTGAGGATTCGGATGATGAGGAGGAGAAGGAGGATGAGGACGAGCGTGATGATGATGCAGATGCTGATGATGATGATGATGATGACGATGATGATGCTGATTATGCTGCTGATGATGATGAGTATGATTCTGATGTTGCTGATGATGAGAAGACGACGGTAGTGTTGAGGATCAGGATGACGACGACGAAGATGACGATGACGATCACGATGGCGAGGACGACGACGATGATGATGCTGATGATGATGACGACGATCATGATGATGATGATGATGATGAGGATGATGATGATGATGATGTTGATGTCGATACAGATGACGACGACACCGGTGATGATGGTGGCGGTGATGGTGATGCTGCTGGTGATTATCATGATGTCGCTGCTGGCGATGATTCTGATGTTGCGGATGCTGGAGCTACTGAGGATGCTTTTGTTGATGATGCTGACGATGACGAATACGATGACGATTACGACGATAATGGCGATACTGCTGATATCGACGATGATGACGTTGACGATGACGATGTCGATGATGATGATGATGATGCTGCTGATGATGCTGCTGATGATGATCATGGGGATGATGTTGATGCCGATGATGATGCTGACGATGATGTTACTGATGCTGACGATGATGATGATGACGATGATGATGATGATGATGATGATGATGATGATGATGATTACGACGATGATGAAGACGATGATGGTGCAGAACATGCTGATGATACTGACTACTAACATGAGGCTTATAGTGACGATGATGAGGATGGTGAAACGAATGATGAGGATGATGATGACCACTCTGATGATGATGCTGATGATGCTGCTGCTGATGATGATGATGATGATGATGATGATGACGATGATGATGATGCTGATGATGATGATGCTGTTGATGCTGATAGTGATGATGATGATGATGATGATGATGATGATGATGATGATGATGATGCAGCTGACGGTGATGGTAGCGTTGATGTTGGTGTTGGTAGTGATGGTTGTGGTGACGATGCTTCTGCTACTGCTTGTGATGATGATTTTGCTGCAGACTGATGGTGTTGCGAGGATGCAATGGTTGACTACTACGAGGAGGAGGAGGCGGAGGAGGAGGAGGAGGAGGAGGAGGAGGGCAGTCGCTACGCCCCCCCTCGCTTTGAGTTTGGCCAGCGCGGAACAACCTTTTTGAAGTCCCCTCTTCATAGTCACCTCTTTATAGTTCCCACAAGAAATTCACATTATTGTCATTGCGGCACATGTACATTGGAAGACGAGCGTCTGAGAATCCCAAATGGTGCCACAACACCATTTCTGGGACTTCAGCGTCGCAGGTCAGCATGACTGTTGCGTCCTCCTGACAATCTTCAGTCGTGCTAGAACACCATTCCTGGGACTTCAACGCGAATCAACGTGACTATCGCGGCCTGGTAATCCCTGATCTTTCCAGAACACCCGCTATTTCCGGGGCTTCGACCATGGGAATCCTTGACACTGTCGCGAATTTTCAGCATGAATGTGCGCGGCGCTAAGGCGAGAGCCACTTTTGCGAACGACCCGCCTTCCATCCGTGAAGCTGTTGGAAACTTCAAAGACGAATGAGCGCGGCGGGAAGGCGAGAGCCCCATTCTGAAAACGGCCCACCCTCCGTCCATTAATTTCTGAGACGAGTGTACGCGGCGGCAACCGCTAAGGCGAGAGCCACATTTTGACAACCACCCGCCCTCCATCCGTGAAACTGTTGCCAACTTTCAAAAGATGAATCTGCGCCGCGCGACGGCGATAACCACTGGAAGGTTCTCGGTTGCTGCCGTCATATAAGATTCTCTTGTGGAGTGTCCCCGGGTTGCCTGGTTGGTGCCTGGGGGCTTTGTTGTGGTAAGAATTCAGGAGGGGAAAAAACACACAGACATAAGTAGTCGTCGACTCCGATTAAAATATGCGAAACTGTGGGAAGTGGGGGGAAGACGAAAATCCAGAAAATACAGACAAAGATGGGGACTCCTGGGTTTTGTGTGTGTATTATTTGTGTGTCCCTGGGTCCCTTCCAAGGTTCTCTTGTGGAGTGTCCCCGGGCTGCCCGGCCGGTGGCCGGGGGGCTCTGTTGGTGGCAAGTGTGTTGTGGTAGGAACGAGTGCTGCCAGAGGGTCCCGCACGTCAAGGCATGCTTGGAATGCTCAGGCGGTCTGGCCCGCTTCGCTCGAGACAACCTCACAAGTCCTGTCTTCCGAGACGACCTGATCTGCGAAGGTCCGACCCGTTTTGAGCGTGTTTCTTTGTTGCTTGGGGCATACTTCGGAGCAGAAAAAGGTGCCCATACCTCTACCCTTCGCCCGTTTTCCGCTTTTTGGGCCTCCTGGGAGACCCTCGTCGCCACCGCTGGATTCGCCTCGAAATTCTGGTCAGAACGCAACCCGGGAGAGGCCCGGGGAGTAGCGGTATCGGTACCTTTGGTTTCCCCAATAATGGGCATTGTAGCCCCCTCCCCCCCCCAGCCCTCCTCATAACGTAACGCCCCTCCCCCCCAGTGCGCTCCCTGCACTGCCGCCCGCGCGCCCGGCGGGGGGGGAGGCGTTACATTACACACTCCCCCAGGCCCCCTCCCGCCCCCCCCTATAATGCCCAATATCGCCGAAAATAGAGACGCGCTCCAAGTCTGTCTTCCGAGACGACCTGATCTGCGATGGTCCGACCCGTTTTTTTCGTGAGACTGGGTTCCCACACGCTGCCAGAGGTTGTCTGGCCCATTTGGCCTGACATCCCGGCATTTCTGGACTCGGAGATGCCGTGAGACATCCTCGCATTTCTGAGCTTTACGATGCCGTGTGCGAGGCGATCCGGCCAGTTTCGCTCGAAACGACACCCCTGCAACCATGGTCACAGAGATGCCGCGTGCGAGGAGGTCCAGCCAGGTTCGCCTGAGGTTTCCTCGCAACTCCGAGCAGCCGCTGAGGAGCACGAGGACAAGGAGGAGGAGGAGGAGGAGGGCAAGGAGGAGGAGGAGGAGGAGGAGGAGGAGGATGGCAGGACAGTTCTCGTATCACAATTGGACACGTACTTGCGTTTTTGTTTCTCTTGGGACGCTCCTCGTCGCCAGGGCTGGACGCGGCTCAGGGGTTGGCGGGGCGACCCCGTGTGCCAGGGTCGCCCGGTGGGCCGGAGGTGCCATTTTGCAGAGGCGGCAACCTCTCCGGCGGTGCCGGGGAGGGGCAGGTGCCGGGAAGAGGTTGCCCCCAGAAGAGTTCGGTTCGCCCCATGGCCCACGGGGGCTTGTCCAGCGGCTGCGAGACATGTGCGTCAATATGGTGAAAATGTGAGAGAGTCACGAACCCAGTAATGAGTTCAAGCCAAGGGTGAAGGGTCACACATCCTCATATCCTACTCCAATCCTACTGCCACTCACCTTTTCACATCTCACATTCATCTGTTTTCTCTGTTCTTGTGTTTGCAGCCTCTCCAGCACGACTACTCTGGTTACCATGGAGGCGATGACCATGCTCTTCGACACGAAGCTTGGCCAAGTCATGGCGAAGGTTGACAAACTCGAGGAGAAGGTTGATGCTTTCGACCAGCGTATAAAGGTTGTGGAGTACCTCTTGAACTCAGGAGGTGCATCTTCAGATGGGAGCGTCAAGAAGTATATGCCCACCCACGTTGACATCAAGGGCTTCTGCGAGTACTCGGAGAGGCGCACAAAGGGTGTCAGCAGGGTCCAGGCGGAGGCCGTCTTCACGAAGCTGAAGAACGCGCTCCCGGCGACTCACGCCGAAGATTGGGGAGCTAGAGGTGTTCGGCAGCAAGGCGTACAAAATCCGGGTCCATGTGCAGCCTCCAGTGGCAGCGGAAGTGGCGATGTTCTTCAAGGAGTGCCTCGACGCCGACCCGGAGCTCCAGTTCAATGGGAAGTGCTTGTTTACCACGGCGGAACGCGAACCTGAGGAGGCGAAGCAGTACGCGGTCGCTGGCAAGGCCAAGGCGTTCCTGCAGAGCAAGGTGGGTCAAGAGGGGACGGCTTCGTGCTCATGGTTCCCAGAGTTCAAGCTGTTCGTCAAGGGGGCGACCGGCGAGGCCAACGTGGGCTCTGTCGGGGTGGACGCCAAGATTTCGTGGAGTCCGGAGAGCGTCCGCGCTGCCATTTTGCCGGTTTACAGCAGTGAGGGGGTATCGACCGAGTTTTGGGGAATACCGAATTCAAAGCGGTTTCTTGGAATACGTGCAAGAAGAGTCACCATGCTGTGCCTCGCATTCGTCGACGTCTTCGGGGAGAGTTTGGTGAGTTCGTGGGGCTATTCCAGGAGATTCCCGCGTGGGTGAAAATCCGTAAGGGCTTCGCCCCCTGCCGCCGGCCCCCTCTCTCGGAGAATGGGCCATGGAAGAGCTAAGTCATGAGGCCTTGGCGCTGTCGTGAAGCAGTATCGAAACTTCATGCGAAGCCGATTCGCAATCAGCAAAACCAACTGATCACAAGAGGGGTTACCACACCTGGCGATTGGTAAGACGTGTATGGTTTACGGGCTTGGTTACCACACCTTGCGATTAAAGGGCCGAGGGAGTTCTCGCAGTTTGGGTTACCACGCCTTGCGATGGATGTGCGTGAAGGGTGGCACCGAATTTCAGAAATGTGGCAAATCCCCTGTGTTTTTGGACCCTGACCCCGCGGATCTGCGTGAGGGGTGGCACCGAATTTCAGAAATGTGGCAAATCCCCTGTGTTTTTGGACCCTGACCCCGCGGATCTGCGTGAGGGGTGGCACCGAATTTCAGAAATGTGGCAAATCCCCTGTGTTTTTGGACCCTGACCCCGCGGATCTGCGTGAGGGGTGGCACCGAATTTCAGAAATGTGGCAAATCCCTGTGTTTTTGGACCCTGACCCCGCGGATCTGCGTGAGGGGTGGCACCGAATTTCAGAAATGTGGCAAATCCCCTGTGTTTTTGGACCCTGACCCCGCGGATCTGCGTGAGGGGTGGCACCGAATTTCAGAAATGTGGCAAATCCCTGTGTTTTTGGACCCTGACCCCGCGGATCTGCGTGAGGGGTGGCACCGAATTTCAGAAATGTGGCAAATCCCTTGTGTTTTTGGACCCTGACCCCGCGGATCTGCGTGAGGGGTGTTGATTTCGAGCCCCCCCAGCAATCCAGACAACGCGCCCAGGGTACGCTAAAAAGCCACTTTGGGCCTCCCCCCCCCTCGCGCGGTCAATCAACTAGTTACAGTAACCAGCAATAAGTCAACTAGTTACAGTAACCAGCAAGAAGCAGAACTGTAACACTGGAAACTACAACCTACGACTGGTACAGGAAACTGCGAATCACGGGCCTACAGCCTGGTGGCCCCACGACGGGGCCGGCGGATTAATCACTTCTCGTACTCTGGCCATACCGTAGTCGCCCAGGATGGTTGTGATTGCGGTCTTGTTATTCCTAGACTTTGGATGCCAGGTGTAAGAGACATTTCTTTTGGCGAATATTGGTGTGGGGCTGTATTGGGGAGTTGCATCTTTCTGTCGGCGCACCTTCTGGATCACCTCGAAGAAGGTGGCCGTGCCGATCGTGTTTTCCAGGACACCGTGAATTATGGCATAATCTGCGGGCTTTTTTTCTTCAATTGACGTCGAGCTGGTGCTTGGGGTAGATACTAACGTAATTTGCCCAGAAACGTTGGCGGGTTATCCGGGCCACGTGCCTTGCCACCACGTTGGAGCCATACACATGCCAAGGTTCGAGTGGTTTCTTCTTGGTTAGAGGCTTTGAAATTGCGTGCGTTGAACACGTTTGCCATTCACGGGGCGGAGATGTCCGATGAGCGTTTGTGGACGAAGATGGTGAAGCGCCGGCCCTCTTCCCGGGCGCAGATCCATTATTATTTGGCAGTGTCTGATGTTGTCTCTGGTCAGGCTTGGGCTCATAGTGTTGTTCATCGACTGTTTTCTCGTTCTGACCACCGCTTGGTCGTTGGAGAGATTCGTGTGCCAGCTGCAGTCGCATATCCACCTGAACGTCAACGCTCTCTTCTTGGATGGCGTCCCCGGGCGATCAAGAGTTGGACAAGTTCAAGAGGTCAGCTTTGAATTTCAACATTCTGATTTGTTATCTCTGCAATCCAGCCTGAAGCGTTGCGCCACGGAGATCGTCTTCGAGACCCGTGGTGGTCAATGCCGAAAGGAACGCTCGTCTCGGAACCAGCCCCCAAGTCAAGCAAGACAGAAAGTGGCACGCGCGTCGTGCTCTGACCCAGCGGAGACTCGCGCGCGAATTCAGAAACTCCGAAGGCGAGACGCATAATTAGCTTATGTTCTGGAGTCGCTGCTAGGAGACGCTTACCTCACACCTAGTGCATCGATGGCGTTACGTCGACTGACCGTGACGAGTGGCGGTAGCGTGGAATTTGCAAGAGGACGATTCGGTGATTCATCGAACACGCGAGGTGCACAACTTCATCGTTTGGATTGTCTGGCCGGTGCATCTCGTGGATATCGGATGGAGCGCATCTCTGCTCCTTAGTTGTCCCCGTTTTCGGTTCTTTTCGGTCGCGCGGGTTTGAACAATTGCACGTCTTCCGGGTGTGATGGGGCGCCGCCTGAGGTGTGCAAGGGAGTGCCGTGCGTCTTCTTGTGCGATTTGTGGAAACATTTTTGCAGTAGGTACCGTGGCGTTGACGCAGAGACACCAGAGAGTTTGAACATTCTTGTTTTTCATGGTATTTCGAAGGAGTCTGCATCTGCTACCCTGGATTCTTTCAGGTGGATCGGCACATTAGATTGTTGCTTTCAGTGGTATACGAGATGTCTCCAGCAGCCTTTGCGACGAAACATCTTAGCACGTCTGTGGAAACTCTTGGGTTTCGCCCAGGTTGCAGTTGCAACGACATCGTGGCCATCATCCGCCAGGCGCTGTTCGTTGCTTCCCGCGGGGGTTTACGGCTAGTCTTTGGCATCGCCGATGTTGCAGGGGCTTTCGATGCTATGTTGCGCTCGCCCATGCAAGCTGCTCTACTCGGTCGCGGCGTTTACCCAGACACCCAGACTTGGTCGTGCATTGATGTCCGAAGTATCGGACAAACGTTGCCGCGTCGAGTCGCCCGGGGCAGACTTCCGACGAGTTCCCCCTCGAGCGCGGGGGGGAGCAGGGGGGGTGGAAACCCCGGGCGAGTTCAACGCGATGATGGAGTTCTTATTGGAACCTGTGTTGAAGTGGCGCCAGCTACGCCGCGGCTTTGATTTCGCAGACCGTGGAGAAGCTCAGAAACCATTACTGGTGCATCTGATATGGGCCGATCGCGTTTTTCATTTCTCCAGCTCGCGGCGCCAATTTGTGGGGGTGACGACCGACGTCGCCGACGCGATCCAGGCAGCTGGGTTTCAGTGGGAAGCTTCGTCGCTCAATTTCAGGTTGAGCGAAACTCTTGTCAATGCGGAGGAAATGTGGCACCCGATTGTGATCTCTGGCGATGTGTTCTTCTTCGCCGGCGAATTGCTAGTTCTCGGCGCGTTGTTCGATGGCCGGGGTGGCGCGCTCTGCAGCCTTGAACGCAGGCTCAATAAAGGCGAAGCATGCTTTTGGAAGCGCTGGGAACTCTTGTCTTATCGGGCAGAGTTTCCATGTCTGCAACGCTCCAGCTTTGGTCTCCAGCGCCAGTAAGTTCGTTTCTCCCAGGCAGCGGGAGTTGGTATATATCCAAGCATATTCTTGCTCGTGCGCACCGGTGGGAACTTCGCCTTCCCCGCCGAGCTCTCAAACTGAAGCAAGGGGGCGGGGGGGCCTCGTGCAGTGCAGTGGGAGGTCTGCCATGCACATCAAGCGTTGGTTCGTGGGGCGCAACGTCGCCGGATCTTGCGCGAGGTATTCGGGGGCGCTTGGAGAGAGATGTTCTTTTCATCTCCCAGTTCCGTCAATTGGCTCTCTATTGCTCGAGGGTATCGTGACCGTCAGTTTTGGGAGTGGATTGAAGATTGCGAGAAGCAGCGGGGGGCGGCCAGATTTGTTCGCCATTGCATGGGTTATCGCGTCGAATGGGAAGACGTATTTTGTGCGGCGATTGACGCGCGCTGGTTGTCGGCGCGCGACGCGTGTTCTGGACTCGCTGCGTGGCGTGCGTGGGGCGTGCAGTTCGTTGACAACGTGTGTTCGCACTGGGGCTTGCCCGTGTCCCAGACCCAACTGGCTGGGCAACCGAAGGGCGAAACGACGCCGGCGACTCCTGCGGCGAAGCGCCACAATTCCAATTTCTCTTGTCTGGAGAACTGCCCGGCGGCCCATGGCGAACAACCACCTCCGATCGAGTTCTGGCGGCCATGTAACTGTTCTGATTTCGTTGTTGACTGCAGGCCGCTTGCCGAAGATGTCGGCGGTCGCGCGCCTTTCCGTGCCGATAGTCTCTTTTCCTGTCCTTGAACGCATTGCAGACGCCATGTTTCAGCTCACGTGCGTTGCTGACCCAGTTATGTGGCACCGTCGGGAAAGCAATCAGATTGCGGATTTCCTTGCGAACTTTACCGTGGAGTCTGGTGAGAGTTGGCTCATAGAGATGGCGCCCACAGTGCGCGATTTCAGCCCGTGTGAAGTCAGCTTTATCTCCCATTCTGACGGTGGCGCGCGAAAAGGATCGCGATCAGCAGCCGCCTGGGTTGTAGGGGCAAGCGTTGTCCGAGACAGTCGCCAGCGCGTGTTCCCATTAGCATTCCGCGGCATTTGCTTCGCGCCTGTCTCCCCTTTCGCAGCTGGGGCCGTCGCTTTAGACGAAGTTGTATCTTATGTTTCCGGCAAGATTTTGAACCGCTCCCCTGGCCAGCTTAAGCGTGCCTGCTCCGCGCGTGCCTGCTGGCCCTTTTCCAACTTCTCGGCCCAGCGCATGTGTGCTCTGTCGCGTCGGAAAGAAAAATGAGTTCAAACCGCATAATATACTGTTAGATTTCTCTTCTGACGCCTCTACTTGCGAGGATCTCTCAGGCGAGAGTCAAGCTCTTGAAGGTACGTCGCATTCGGGAGCTCGCTGAACATTTATTATGTCCGAGGGTCTCTGAAGGGAAACGCCATGGATGCCTCGCGCGAGAGATGGTCTTCGAGAGCCAGCGTCGTAGCGCAACTCCTCTGGCATTCGATCCGCGCCAGAATTTCCGAGGCGAAGCGCCCCCCACGCCATGTTGAAATCCCAATACCTGATCTCAAACCCGTCAGTTGTTTGAGGATGTTTCAGGCGATTGTTGGATTGTTTGACAACCGGCGTCGTAACATAACTCCTCTAGCGCCCGATTGCGAAGTAATGTCTTAGGCGAAACGACCCCCCCACGCCATGTTGGACATCCGACGCCCGAGTTCCAAAACCTCAATTATCTGAGGATGTCATAGGCGACGGCTTCACTTGTGGGAACCAACGTCGTAACACAATTCCCCCGATATCCTCATTTATTTCGAGGATGTTTCTGGCGAGACGCCCCCCCCCCTCCGCCCCTCTCCACGCCATGTTGGATATCCGACGCCCGATCTCCCACTTTTTCTTCCATGTCCAGAGGATGCTTTAGGCGAGTTCGTTTTTTTTGGGGGGCACCAGCGTCGTGATACAGCTCCCTCAACGTCCCCATCTCGCGAGGACGTCTCAGGCAAAAACGCCCCCTCCACACGAGGTCGGATCTCCGCCGTCCGATCTGCGACATCTCAAGTATCCGACGCGGTCTCGGGCGACGCGCTTCCCCGCACCATGTTGGATATGCGACGCCCGATCTCCAGCATTTCAGTTGCTTGAGGATGTCTCAGGCGAAAACTGCATGTTCAAGAACCAGCGTCGTAGGCAATATCTCCAGTTTGTGAGGATGTCTTAAACGAGCCGGTCCTCCTGCCCCTCCTCCATCGGCTCGTCCCCCCCCGTTCAGTCTGGGGCCAGCGGCAAGGCCCGACAACGCAGAGAGAACCTTGGGGCCAAGCCCTCAGTGGGAAAATCTTGAACTCAGCATTAGTATAAGGAGGAGCTGATGAGATGAACGTGTTGTCAGGGCTTCCTGTTTGAAGATGGCAGCGAGGAAACTAGGGTCGCCCCTGGTGCCGGGAAACCGCGGGGACCCAGAGGCCGGCAACAGAACAAGCGGGAGCCCGCCGACAACCGCCCGCCTTCCATCCGCGAAGCTGTCGCAATTTTGTAAGACGAATCGGCGACCACATGTGAACCCTACCCCCACCCCCCACGATTTCTAAGGGGGGTGGGGGTTCAATTCGTTCGGGAGCTCCCGAGCGAAGTGAACTCCCACCCTCCCATAGAGAAATCGTGAGGGGTGGGGGTAGGGTCCACATGTGGTCGCCTAACGAGTGTGCGCGGCGCAAAGGCGGGAGCCACACTGTGAAGACCATCTGCCCTTCATTCGTGAAGCTGTTGCAAGCTTCAAGCTTCAGGATCATAAGTGGTGAGGAGCTTTCAGGCGAAACGCTTGGCCCGCCCTATCGAGACGTCATGGGGTCCGACAGGGAGTATTTTTACAGGGAAGCCGATGGCTGATGCTGATGGGACAGGACAGGCCGACAGAGAGACAGAAACCATAGACCTAAGTCGTGACCTCATCAGTTTGGTGGCCAACCTGCATAAGGACACCTGTCTCGCACTCTCCTCAGAGGGCAGGGTCGTCCGGACAACGAGGGGCTCACGCCAAGGCTGCCGCTTCGGCGCCTTGATTTTTAATATTGAGTATAGCGTAGCCCTTGGAGAGCTTTAGAGCAGCGCTTGACGAGCTCAAACTCACATTCGCTGCGGAGTGCGAGCCCAGCGGCCCGCCATGGGCCCACCAGCTTGGCGCTTTCCCCACGCGCACCGTGCCAGTTGGGGAGGTCACGTACTTCGACGATGAGTCCATATTGATTGTGGGCGAGGACAACGCGAGCCTCAACCGCAACGTCGCCACGGTAGCCGAAGCGGCGCAAACCACCATGGAGAGACACGGCATGCAACTGAACTGGAAGCCCGGCAAGGCAGAGGCCCTCATCACGTGGAGGGGCAAGGGCGCCCGGGCCGCTTAAAACAGGCGAGGAACGGCGAGCGCCCTGCCTTGGCCCTACCTGGAGTCCCAGGCATCGAATGCCTCGTGGTGAGAGAGTGCAAGCACTTGGGTTATGTTTCTCCTATCGTACTGAAGGACCACATCTCAGACATCGTTTCGAGCACCCGGAAAAGTATTGAAACAGTGTCGAACGAGTATCGCCTCCCAGGGCCCGACACGTGAAAACCTTCCAGTTTCGGTACTTCCTTGGTGCTCGAAATTCTTTCTCGCGATCGAGGCCAAAGTAGGTTGGAACATCATAACACTTGGGATCCATGCAGTCCGGGGGCGCGTCCTCTGCCCTGGACATACGTGCGCGCCTGCGGAAAACATCCGCGGTGTACCATCGCCTCGTGCGGAAGGTCTTCGCAGTGCAACACATGAGCGTGCAGCTCAGGCTGCGACTTTTCAAGCCTCTCGTCCTTTCAGTGCTGTTCTATAACTTTGAGCTGTGGGCGCCTCAGCGCACTCGTGTACAGTGGTTGCACACTTTTTATCTGCGCGCTCTGCGCATGTTGGCCCATGAGAGCCGTTTTCCGATCCCAACGTCTCGCCTGGGACGTTACGCTAGGATCGGCGTCTTTTACGACTCCACAGAGTTCCTTGCAGTTCCGTGCCCAGAGTTTACCAAACTTTTCAGAAGCAGCAAAGCCGTGGCTACGCACAGGATGAAGGTTCACGACCATCGGAAACCTGTGGCGTCCGCGATCCCAGCATGGGCTACGACGTGCCCTGCCTGTTCAAAGGTTTTCGGGACCACCCGGCAACTTTTAGGCCATGCTCATTACAGGGCTCGCAAGTGCCGTGATGCGATTCTCGCTTTCTGATGTGAGGAGGAGCAGGAGGAGGAGGAGGAGGAGGAGGAGGAGGAGGAGGAGGAGGAGGAGGAGGAGGAGGAGGAGGACGGAGGAGGAGGAAGAGGAGGAGGAGGAGGAGGAGGGGGACCAGAGTAAACCCAAGATTCATCAACGTTGTTGAAATACACTCTCCCTCCAAGATCCTTCTTCGTAGGCCTCTAGAAGGGGCCAGTTCCACTGAGGGATTTGCAACGTTGGGAGACAACCGTGTGAACATCTTGACATTCGTGGGACTTCAACACCGCGAATCAATGTAACTGTTGCACCCTGCACCCAATATATATATATATATATATATATATATAACAATTCTGACTCCTTCCACAACACCATTTTCGGTATGTTAGCCATGCGAACTAGTGAAACTCTTGCAGCTGTTCAACACGAGTGTGCGCGGCGCTAAATGGGGAGCCACCTTTTGAAAAGGAACGGCCCTCAATCCGTATAGCTCTTACAGATGTTTAGAACGAGCGCGCGCGGCGCAAAGGCGAGAACCACATTTCGAAAACGACCCGCCCCCCATCCGTGAAACCTTGGTCAATTTTTAAGCATTTGGGTCACTAGTGGTGTGAGGAAGTCTCAGGCGAAACGCCCGGCCCTCCCTTTCGACTGGCGTCAGGGTGCGACAGGGACGAGTTATCTAACAGGAGAAGCACAGGGTCCGGCTTGAATAAGGAACACTTATTTAATCGCTTCGCTCATTCCGCCGGCCCATACAGTCTCATGTCTGCCGTTTGCCTGAGGGCCTGGTGTCAATGCGGCGCTTTGGGGGTTCCTGGGGCCGCTTGGGGGACTCCTGGGGCGCTCGGGGGGGCATTTGGGGGACTCTTGGGGGCCTCCTGAGGGCCCCGTGGGGGCCTCTTGGGGCCTCTTAGGGGCCTCGTAGGGGCTTCTTAGGGCCGAGGGCTCGAAATGTTGTTTCGTGTTCCCTCTCTGGGGCCCCTTTGGGGGCGTTCTTGGGGCCCTCTTGGACCGTTTTGGAGGCTTCTTGGGCCGTCTTCGAGCCCTCTTGGGCCATCTTGGGGCCCTCTTGGGTGCCTCTTGGGCCCTCTTGGGGCGATCTTGGGGGCCTCTTGGGCCGTCTTGGGGCGTCGGGAAGCCGAAAAGGTGGAAGCTCCAAAATCTCTCAAAAACCTATGGAAAAACAATGATTTTTGCCTCCGGGGGCCCTATTGGGAGTGCTCTTGGAGGCCTCTTGGGGCGTCTGGGGGCTATCTTGGGCGTCTTGGAGCGATCTTGTGGCATGTCGGACCCCTCGTGTACCATCTTGGGGGCCTCTTGGGGGCCTCTTGGCCTTTCTTGGGGCTCTCGGGGACGTCTCGGAGCCCTGTTGGTGCGCTCATGGAGCGCTCGGGGGGACCCGGCCGGGACCCGGCCGGGACCCGGCCGGGACCCGGCCGGGGACCGGCCGGGACCTGGTCGGGGTACTTTTCGTCCGGGGACCCCCAGGGGCCGCCCCGCGCGCGCGAACTAGAAAATTGTTAACCAGTTACCGGAGATCTTAGCACGCCTCTGGCCCGTTGGGCCGGCGAATTTTTCCAAAAGGGGTTCGGTCGTTCCTTTGGTTTGCATGCGTGCTGCTACCTTTTTGGCGGCGGGCCCCCCTGGTGTTCCTTCGGACTTCCGGGATTTAGTTGGAGACAACGGGGCTTCGTTCCTTATTTATCGTTCCTTAGGTCAGGCCGAATACTGTAACGGAGGCCGAATCGTTCACGGCCTTGCTGGAGAAGTGCCCGCCTGTCTGTCTGCCGACCCGCTCGCGGTTCGTACTCCCAGGGCGGTCCCTGAAGGGGGCTTGTCGTCGCCGCGGTCGCGCTCGGCCCGGGGCGACGGTCAGGGCGGCGACGTTGCGAGTGGTCCGCGCGGGGGCGGGAGCGCCGCTCGGAACGATGGGTGCAACGTGCCGGTCCTGAAATGAGGCCAGCGCTGCAGCGGGAGCACCAGTTCGAAACACCGACATCACTCCGAATGGGAGCTACATCTGGCACTTCAACAGTTGAAATCCTGTTTGTGTGTGAGACGAGAGGGATATAATCAGTACGCGGAGGAGGGCGGGCCACTCCCCAGCCGACATCGGGGGCGACAGGAGAGCAGTATTCGTATTGATTATTTGTTGAGTCTTTGTGAAGGAGGGGGAAGGCGAAGGAAGGAGGGGAGCGGGGGGAAGGAAGGGGGGACTGGGGGAAGGGGGAGGGGGAAGGAGAGGGAAGGAGAGGGAAGGAAGGAGGGGGAGGGGGAGGAAAGGGGGGGGGAGGGAGGGAGGGGGGAGGGGAGGGAGGGAGGGAGGGAGGAGGGGGGAGGGGAGGAGGGAGGGAGGGAGGGAGGGAGGAGGGAGGGGGAGGAGGGAGGGAGGGAGGGAGGAGGGGAGGGGGAGGAGGAAAGGGGGGGGGGGAGGGAGGGAGGGAGGTGGGGGGGAGGTGGAGGGGGGCAGGCGTGGAGGTCCTCGGGCCCCGCGCGTCGCCCCCTCGAGCGTCTGCCGAGGAGCTCCAGAGGCGCGGGGTGGCTCTGTCCTGCGCCCTCGTGAGGCTGTCGCTGCTCGACAGGGGGTCGCTGCCGCTCATCCAGGAGCGCCCAGGTCGAGGGGGGGAGGAGGGAGGAGGAGGAGGAGGCGGATCCGTAGCCATTTTGGCTCAAGCCTTGAGGCTTGAGTTCTGTTCAGCGATAGCGCGCGCGCGCGCGCGCCCGTCGACGGGCTTTCGGAGTCCACAGGGAGCTTCCCGCAGGCCTACTTGCCTGAGATGTCCAGCGAGGGCATCACCGTGACTGGGGCCGAGGAGTACCTGGTGTTCGAGTCGTTCGACGACTACGACCTTAACGAGAACCTCCTTCGCGGCATCTACTCCTACGGCTTTGAGAAGCCGAGCGCCATTCAGCAGCGCGGCATCAAGCCCATCCTGGACGGCCGCGATACGATCGGCCAGGCCCAGTCAGGAACTGGGAAGACCGCCACCTTCGTTATCGGGGTCCTGCAGCGGTGCGACTACAGCCTGAAGGCCTGCCAGGGACTGATCACCGCTGAAGGTTGAATCATTCAAGTATCTTATGAAGACAGGAGCCAGATTCGCTCGGAATGCTATTCTTCATCACGACCCGTCGTCGAGACTTGGTCGGATCATTCTTTACCGAAGCATCGCCCGAGCTGTCTGGAGACAAGATGCGAAGCTAGGCTCCATCCTTCTGCAGGCGCACTCGAGTGCACGTGCTGTTCTAGGCTACGACGTGTGCAGCGGACGTCTTTGGCTTCTAGATCCTGATAAATTTGCAGCGGACCTTGACCAGCTGCAGACGGCGGACTTAAAGGCCCAACAGAATTCTATCAAAGAGAACCTCAATGAGGAGACCCCTGAGAAACTCCGTCGTGAACGTCGCCAACAGCTTCGTCGTCTTCAGAAACGTGCTGCGATTTGGGCGCCCTTCGACCGCCGTCTGCACTTGAAAGGTATCCGGCTAGGCGAGGAAGTGGCGACGACGCCCGAATCCATGTCCGCGGCGATCTGCAGCTACTGGGGTGATGTCTTTGGACCCAAGCAGGTACTCCAAGGTCCCGCTGATCAATACCTGTCCCGTTTCGGAGGCAATCTCGACTTCTCGGGGATCCCCCCACCTACCATCTCAGGCACCAGAGTCCGATTGAGGACCTTGGAGGACTGCGCACCTGGACCCGATAGGCTTCCGTACGCTGCATGGCGCTTTGCTCCTCAGGCAGCGGAGCTGCTTGATGAATATCTTTGGTGGATCCTGGATGGGAGCTCTCCGTTTTCGAGCTTTAACGATATGTTGGGCATATTCATACCTAAGGGAGAGGAGGAATGGGGATGCAGGAGGAGCCACCCGCGACGTTCAGTCGCTCCGCCCGCTTGGCCTGAAGAATTCGGAGAACAAGATTCTCGCAAGCTTGGTGGTGCGCCCGTTTTCGGTCAAGATGGCCGAGGTCAGTTGCCGGTTCCAGAGAGGTTTCACGATCGGCAGGCAGTTTGGAGAGAACATTATCGAACTCGACACCTACGCTCGACTCGCATCGATGTCAGAACATGCCGAAACCAACCTTCCCGCCATCGTCTCGTACGATTTCGCCCAGGCCTTCCCCTCCGTGGCGCACTCTTGGATGCACAAAGTTTTGAAGAAAATGAATCTCCCTGGGCCTCTGGAGTGGTTCTTCTGGGTCCTCCCTATCAGAATGTCCACTGCTTTGGGTCCCTTGGCGGGGCTACCGTGTGGCTCTGCACTATCTGGTCTGGTATCATTCAGGGGTGCCCTGCTAGCGGTGCTCTGTTTGCTGCGAGTTTGAATCCGTTCTTGCTGGACTTCGAACGGAGCTTCGTTGGCCTGTCGCGGGGTGTGATCCTCGCTTGCGCAGATGACATCGGCGGGGTGATCATGCGACTGAAGTAACTGACCGTCCTCTTCCGAATCTTTAGCTGGGCCCAGCGGTTGGCCGCGCTCATTCTGAAAACGGGCAAATGCTTCATCGCCCCGCTGTGTGGCCCGTTCAGTGAGGAGATAGCTACCGTGTACCGTCGCGCTCTGGAGGAGCTCGTTCCGTCTTGGGCTGATTTTGTGGTTGCCCCGAACCTGAAGTACCTGGGGATGTGGGTGGGCCCGAACTCGTTTGACAAATCATGGGCGGGGCCTCTTGGGAAATGGAGGGAAAGAGGACACCTACTAGCTGGAGCTAACGTGCCTACTGCACTTGCCGCAGCTCTCTATAACAACAGCTGCGCGACGGTACCGACGTATGTTGTGCAGTTTCTACCTCACCCCGTGCAGTTATTGGGGCAGGAGGTGGCGATGCTGGCCCGTGTCTTCCACTTCCCGCGCTGCGCTCTCAGTCGAACTGGATGGTTTGGGATGGGCAAATGGGGGGGGGGGGGGGGGGGGGGGCGAAGCTTGCGTGTCACCCTCGGCGCCTACGCCGCGCACGGCAGGGCCGCTCTCTCGACCTTCGCGAATTGCTGGCCTCCTCTCGCGCGCAGGCTACGTGAGCAGGCTCTTCGCAAGCTACCGATCGTGGGTGTGCTGAAGGGGGAATGGTCTCCGACTTGGTGGGGGGAACCTGCGCTATGTCAGAGGCTCCAAGAGGCTGCCAGGGGATTTCCAGAGAACCCGAAGCTGGCTCATCTTCTTCCTGGATATTCTGAGGTCCACCGCCTGAGTTCTGAGGCCACCGCGCTCTGTCTTGCTGGTCGGCGTCCCCCACGGCTGAGGATCCAACGCGCCCTCCAGGCCTCTTCGACGGCCACCCTTTTTCCCTCGGACGCCCTGCGGTTTCTTTTTCTTCGGAGGCTCCGTGGTTGGTTCCCCGAGCTTGAAGAAAATGATCCTCCGTATTGACTGGGGCGCCGTCAGCCTAAATATGTGCCGAATGAAAGTACCACACGCGTTTGCCATGATCCGCACCCTGTCAAAAGCATGGTTGACCCAGCAAAGGTTTCAGCAGCTCGGGTCGACATGCGTGGTTGGGTGCTCTCAGCCGATTGCATGCGTCACTACTGGCAATGCCCTGTCTTGGCGGAGCTAGTAACCAAGATCGTTGGGGAGGGGGCGGTGGAGCCTGGGTGGGATGGGATCGACAAGCTCGGGCTTCTGGAGCCATCAGCCCAGAGATTCGAGGTGCCCGTCGCATTTCGTGTTCTTTACGCACAGTTGCGGGGCAGACGTGCTCGCCTCCTCAGGCCTCTGACCAGGAGTGAGGCCGAAGCCCTCATTCAGGTCGTCCGCGTCCAGCTGTGGCGCTGGGGGGGGGGGGGGGGGGGGGCGCGGCCGTGGAGCAGACCGAGGCGCGCGGCCGCGCGAGAGGAGGAGGAGGCGGAGGAGGAGGAGGAGGAGGAAGGGGAGGAGGAGGAGGAGAAAAGTGATGATGATGATGCTGATTATGATGATGTTGGTGATGATGATGATGACGATGATGATGATGATGGTTGCGATGGCGGTGATGATGATGAGCATGATGAGGGGGAGGTGGAGGAGGAGGAGAAAACAGGATGTTGATGATGGTGAGGATGATGATGATGATGCTGATGATGATTGTGGTGGTGGTGGTGATGATGATGAAAATGAGGATGATGATGCTGATGCTGATGATGCTGATGCTGATGCTGATGCTGATGATGATGCGGATGATGATGCTGATGTGATGATGGCGATGCTGATGATGATGCGGATGATGATGCTGATGATGATGCTGCTGATGGTGATGATGATGCTGATGATGCTGATGATGCTGATGATGATGGTGCTGATGATGATGACTCTGATGATGATGATGAGGATGATGATGATGCTGCTGATGATGATGATGCTGATGATGGTGAGGAGGAGGAGGAGGAGGAGGAGGACGGAGGAGGAGTGGGAGGAGGAGGACGGAGGAGGAGGAGGCGGAGGAGGAGGAGGGGGAGGAGGAGGATGACGGAGGAGGAGGAGGAGGAGACGGAAGAGGAGGAGGATGAGGAGGCGGAGCAAGAGGGGGGCGGATGAGGAGGAGGAGGAGGAGGATGAGGAGGAGGAGGAGGCGGAGCAGGAGGAGGAGGAGGAGGTGGTGGAGGAGGAGGAGGTGGCGGAGCAGTATGAGCAGGATGAGCAGGATGGCGATGACGATGGTGATGATGATGATGATGGTGATGATGGTGTTGATGATGATGAGGTGGATGATGATGCTGATGATGATGATGATGCTCATGATGAGGCTGATGATAGTGGTGGTGCTGATGATGCTGATGATGATGGGGATTCTGAATAAGACGATGATTACGAAGGTGATGGTGGCGATGATGATGGTGATGATTCTGATGATGATGCTGCTGATGCTGCTGATGCTGATGATGATACCGATGATGATGATGCTGATGCTGATGACGATGGTGTTGGTGATGCTGCTGGTGATGATGCTACTGCTGCTTATGCCTATGCTGCTGCTGCGATGATGAGGACGATGCTGATGTTGATGCTGATGGTGATGCTGATGTTGAGGATGATGATGATGGTGATGATTATGCTGCTGCTGCCGATGATGATGGTTTTGATGACCACTATGACAATACCGATGGTGATGGTACTGATGCTGCTGATAATGAGGGTAGTGATGCTGAGGATGATGATGATGGTGATGATGTGGATGCTGATGCTTATGATGCTGATACTGCTGATGGTGATGTTGTTGATGATGATGATACTGCTGCTGGTTATGATGATGCTGATGATAGAGGTGGTGCAGATGCTGACGATGATGCGGATGCTGACGATGACGATGATTACGATGATGATGGTGCTGATGATGATGGGGTGGAGGATGATGAGGATGCTGTTGATGATGATGATACTTATTCTGATGCTGATGCTGATGATCGTGGTGGTGTTGGTACTGCTGCTGCTGATGATGATGACGACGAGGATGCTGACGATGACGATGGTTACGATGCGGCAGCTGCTGCTGATGATGATGCTGGTTATGATGATGATGATGGTGATGATGGTTTTGATGATGATGATGCTGATGATGCTGATGATGACGATGCTGATGATGATGCTGCTGCTGGTGATTTTGATTATGCTGCTGGTGATGATGCTGCTGTTGCTTTT